GCTGTTGTATTCTTGGTGCTTAAAAGTTGCCTTCCACACAGTAAGCAGCCAACCCATCTATTGAATGTATGAGTAATACTCAAATACCATCCACCTGTGTGTTCATCCCAGTGCAAAGAAATGTTTGTAAACGTTACAGACTTTCTGGGTGTATGGAAACAGTGAAAAGTGGACACGAAAGAAAACAGAGATGTTACACACACAAAAAAATTGATTTTTACCTCTAATATGGCTTCTTGTACCTAAAGTGGCATTGTGCAATGCGTCCAAAAATTTTCTCCATTGAAGGAAAAAGATGGAAGGGGTGACACTGACCAAGAAGCACTGTACTCATAACCTGATTTAATCCCTTTGCACAACTATTTAGTAATATAAAAATTTCTATACTGATAGTATAGACTCAGGAATAATGAAAAAATTGCTTGACCTTGACATTTGAGGTTAAATGACCAATTTTCGTGAAAAAAGGAAACACTAAATCTTCATTTTTAAGACCAGCATATTTCATAATCTCTCATTGCAACTATTGGTTTTGTTTTTGTTTTCTGTTTTGTTTAACTTAGTTGTTCTAAAAGCTCTGTAGTTACTTTCACAGAAGCTCAGTCTTTTTGTTCGAAGACATGAATGTGAGTTTTTAAAGTGGCAAGAACCTTAAAGCACTGCTGTAACTTAGAAGGAAGCAGGGAAACTTGACTCTGTATGGTTAGACTATGTCCGGAAGTATTTGTAGCCCCTGGCTTTGTTGGGGTCATTTTTTTTTCTTGTCTTGTATTGGAGTAAGGATATAATCTCAGTTCCATTAGAAACAGTGCTCACAATGCCAGGTGTCAAATCCACAAATCAATCTTCTCCTCAATTATCCACGTTTGACAGGCCCCCATGTTTGTCTCAGAAAATTTCTAAACACTCTTTTATTAGTAATGGGGAATTAAGTTTCCTAGGTAGACAAATTAACTTCTAAACTAGAAGAGAAACAAAACAAAAACATACATGGGTGGGGAGGATTGCCTTGTTCCAACTTGAAGCTCTTGGACTACTCTTTCCTCCATCTTTTCGGTAGACTCTTTCTTGTCTATACTGAGCCTGTGGATTTTACCTTCCTGAAAGGGTAGATTTTGGTTTGCAAACTTAAAAAAAAATAATGCCGGTTCCCTAATTACTTTTAATTAGGTAAAAAAAAAGGTGGTGCCTATAAACAAGTATTATAAAACATGTAGCTATTATGCTTGGGCAGTTCTTGAAAAGAACACAGTAAAAGGCTGAGAAACTTCGCTCTAAACAAAAGACTTGTTTTATATATTTTTTAAAAGAAGGATATGTACTGGCTTAGAATAAGAAACCAAATTAATAGACTACAAAGGGGAAAACAGAAGAATATTTTGTAAATGAGCCAAATCTATGACCTTGCACATTTCATGTTATGCAAGAACTTACCTTGGAGAAGGTTTAAAGTCGGCTATGTTCCTTTAAAATTGGTGATGACAAACTCTGATTTGACAGCACATCTCCAAGTATAGGAAAAGTGTTAAAAGTATCCAGTTTAATTTTATTTTTTTTTTTAGTGTAGAAAGGGGAATGATACAGAAGCAAAAAATATAAAGGGAGGAGGAGAATGATGGGTGAGATGACGGATGCATTGTGCACATAAATGGACACGTGAAAATGTAGTGTTCGGATGAGTAACTAAGCCTCAGACAGACAGGGTAAAACAGCTGTATCTAAGGGCAAACCTGGCCATTGGACTTCACTGTTGTTCATGCTGTTCCCTATAGGAGAACAGGTATGTGGTTTCTAGAATATTCTTAAAATGTATGTTTTATGAAATTTGGAGGAAAACATCAGCTACTTCTGATCTTTAGCAGTTTACAGTTTAATAATTTCATCAAAGTATTCCAGCAGAAAATGAACTGTGAATATTTTTGCATTTGCAACAATCCAAGAATGGCATTGGAAAAATTCCTTGAATGGCTTTTAGTTTGAAAAAGACATTATTCCTTAAAAAAAATCAAAATTCATTGATTTCCTGGGGACTAGTGGGTTCAGGATTGCATGGGGAAGATACTGGCTGGGGTGGGAGGAAGGGCGCGTGGGGCGGGAGGGGGGGAAAGATATGAGTACCTGACATTTTGTCCCTCCTTTGTTGGATTCCTATGAACTATAGGAAAAAATATACTTTATAGAGTAGTCCTCCCTTCTTCCCAGAAAACAATGTTTGGGCCTTTCTATGTAAAGCTAATTTGTCATGAGGAATATAAAGCCCTTTACTGGGATATCCAGGTCCCTGTGGGATTTTATTTATTTTTTTTACACAGACACCATGTGGTGCAATCTGTTACAGTCTACAAAGCGAGGTGGGGTGGGAACGCTTTGCAGGGGCCAGGAATAAAGTCAACTCTGGGAATTTTTGAAGTATTAACCAAAGTGGTGGAAATGGTACAGCTAGTCTGAAAAAAAAATACCTTATCTTCTGTTCTAAATTATAACCCAGGGTATAATAAATAGACTAAAAGGAAAATGAAAACATACAAACAAAAAAAACCCTAGTAAGTCAATGGATTTAGAGTAGGAAGAAAGAACCAGACATTTTACGATGGTTACTTTGCCATTCATTTTGTATTTTAATCTAACTTACTGGTGATTTAATTTACAGATCTCAAGGAAGTGTGTGCTCAAATATTTGAGGGACGTTAACGTATCAACCACTGTTTAATTTTGGAATGTGCCTACTTGCTTGACACAATATTTTTACCAGCTAACAAATGTTTAGCCTTTTTTTTCACTTGACTAAAGAGAAATAAGTTTCACATTGCTTCATTCACCTTCTTATGTGCATATGCTGGGAAAGATTGGATGTTAAAAAAAAAACAACAAAACAAATCGCCAAACTTCCTCATGTTCCTCTCTACTACATCTAAATCTGTTTACCAATTTAAAGCTGCTAAAATAAAATAAAATGAAAACCAAAACCAAACAAACAAAACCCAACCTGAATTATCTTGCTAAATCAACCGGATGGCTTGAAACCAAACTGTAATGCATTATCAACTTATTTTCAGGACAACATTCTTGAGGGGATAATAAAATTGTTCTGGCCTGTGTGTCAGTTTGCTTATCCCCCCTCCCTCTCTCTCTCCCTCTCCCTCCCCCTCTCTCCCTCTCTCCCTCCCTCCCTCCCTTTCCCTCTCTCCTTCTTTCTCCCTCTCTCTCCCCTCCCCCCTCTCTCCCAAAGGCTTTCAGTTTTTAGGCTGATACTTTTTATAGTTATATAACAGTTCTAATATTTTGTGACATTTTGTATTGTGACACTATAGATGAAATTGTCATCGGACTGACACCCTGTGCTGTTTATTTCTTAATTACAACTGTTAACACTGCAGAGAAGTGTGCTAATCTGCCAGCACATATTATGAAAACAACGTTATTGTTACCCACACCAACACCCACTCAACAGGATATTTTCAAGATGGTAGTTTAGAGGAACTTATCAGCACAATAGATATCCCAATGTATTTTTTGTATGTGGTAGATTTTCTTCTTAACCTTGTCCTATTGTCTTCTTTTAAAACCACAAACCAGCTGAGCACCTGTGGCTCACACCTGTAATCCTAGCTACTCAGGAGGCTGAGATCTGAGGATCAAGGTTCAAAGCCTGGGCAGGAACATCCATGTGACTCTTTCTTTTAAAATAATGTTTTTATTGTAAAAATACTGTACAGAGGGGTTACAGTTACATGAGCAAGGTAATGAGTACATTTCCTGTCAAGCATTGTTACCTCCTCCTTTGTTTTTCCCCTACCATCCCTTCCCTCCTACCTCTACAACTACACTCCCCACCTAAATTGTAAAGTTCATTTTTCAACATAGTGTCTTGTACATCTCATTGTTACAGTGGGTCAACCTGTATCCCTATTTAGGCATTTTGTTTTCTCTCTTTCCCTCCCCAAATTAGAGAAGTGTATATACAAGATGCAGGGCACTGACATCAAATACAGTGAAAACAGGGGTTATACTGTGGGAGAGGAACATACAAAGAAACAAAAAAAAATCACATGGTACATTATAAATACGTTAGAAACAATAGCAAGAAAGAAAAAACCACTTGTGTCCCTATCTTGGGGTTGATTTCACTTCACATCATCTTATCTGGTTAGCTGGAGGGGATGTGACCAGAAGGAAACCCTACTGCATTGTTGGTGGGAGTGTAAACTTGTTTAACCACTTTGGAAAGTAGTATGGAGTTTCCTCAAAAGACTCCACATAGAGCTCCCCTCTGACCCAGCAATCCCACTTTTGGGCATTTACCCAATGATCACAAATAAGACCATACTAAAGCTACTAGCACAACTGTGTTTATTGCAGCATTATGTACCATAGCTAAGATATGGATCCAACCCAGATGCCCCTCAGTAGATGAATGGATCAAGAAAATGTGGGATATATATGTACACACACACACATATACACACACACACACACACACACACACACACACACACACACACAATGGAATTCTATGCCTCTATCAGAAAGTGTCACTGTGGCTCAAATGGTAGAACGCTTGCCTTGAGCTGAAGAGCTAAGGGAGAGCGCCCAGGCCCAGTTCAAGAGCCACGACCGACAAAACACAAAAAACAAAAACAAAAAACAGAAAGCAGTTTGCAGTTGAGATCAGTTCGGTATAATGCCAGCACAGACCTTTCACTATCAGAGGCTGCCTCTACAGTCAAACAATTATCTTTTGTTTCTCCTTCCTAGTGCTCAAGCAGTGGAGATCTGAGGAATCGAAAGCTATTTAGGGCTGTGACCCACCCACAGCTTTCCAACTAATAGTGTTTTCCAAATCAAAACAGAAGGGAGAAAATCAAAATTGAAGGGAGAAGGAAGGGTAAGTTGAAAGATGAGGAGAGGTCATTTGCACACATAAGGTTGGCAACCCTTTAATAACCAACTTACGAGTCTAGTCAACCTTTCTACTCGGCTCTACTAGGTTCCCTTTTTCAAAACCAATTCCAAGTCTTCCTGAAACTAGCTACTTACCAAATGCTTCACAGTATAGGCCTGTCCATCTCCACAGCTGTGGGAGGTCTATCTATGAGGCGCATAATCCTCTAGATCTATTTTTTGATAACTATTATGTACAACAGCAGGTAAGTGTCACCATGTTTTTATTTGTTAAAAGGAGCCATCTTGATCCTATACCTTTTCCCCACAATGTAATAGCTTAAAAGTATAGGTTCTAGAAAACTGATAACCAACCTGCTTACATGAGAATGGTTGTAAGTATTCTAAATGACAACACTGATTTCATACTTCATTGACTAAACATTATACCTTTAATATCAGTTGTTAACACTTCAGTGGGGTTAGCAGAAAACAAATCTGTGACCTTGAAGTAGCACTAGGTGACAGTCTAACATTTCTCAGTACATAATTATGTCTCTATTGTCATTTATGATACAATGTTCATGTTGTTATAGGGACATAGTCAATTCCTGAAATTATCATACTTGTCTACAAATGTTACATATCCAGCTTGTTAAATAGGTCTTTTAAAATGCATGTGAAGAAGTTAATTGCTTTGCAGCTTTCTTTTGAAGGTTGTTTTCTGTTTTATCATGATTTTCAACACCAATGGGGTATGGTGCTCTTCCTAAAAGAAACTGTTTCCATTTGGGAATATAGTCTTCCACTGATGCCCAGTAACGAGCCTGAAAAAAAATACCCCAAAGTAAGATACCATATCAAGCGACTGAACTTGGCTCTTCATAGTAGTCTAAATGTTTATTCACCTAAGCGCAAGAGTGCGCGTATGGGCACACACACATGTGCGCGTGCGCGCGCGCGCACACACACACACACACACACACACACAGATATAAGTAGAATACATTTCCTCTACAGAATATTTTATGTTAATTTTAGAAAAAAATCTGGCTACTTACTAGTGTTAATTTTCAAATTTCTCAGTAAAACCAGAGCCTGGCAGAATTACAGGTTTTAGAATTTTATTGTGATTTTACACGCCCTCTTGTGGTCAACCTTGTGATAATTGCCAGCCCTATCATTTACAGTATGCATCAAGACTTGTTAAATGTTTTCTATCCTACAACAAAATTACCCACACTGAAGTTATTACAGTGAAGTGATTAAACATGAAAAAATTATTCACAATAGCAAATGATTTGACCTAGGTAAGAAATGTAAAGGAAATTTGCTTCCAAGTGTGTAAAAGCATACATCATAAATTAACTTTTATGAGAATACTTGATGTCACAAATTGCCATTTTTATAAAAGTTGTATTACGAGAACATTTTATCAGTATCATTTAAGAATAGTTTATAAGTTGATGTCATGGTTTTTGTTTGTTTGTTTTACTTATTAGTTTTTGGTGCTGGTCTTGGGGCTGGAACTCAGGGCTTGGAGAAGCTGTCCCTAAGCTTATTTTTGCTCAAAGATAGCACTCTACCACTTGAGCCACAGCTCTGCTTCCAGATTTTTACTGGTGAAAGGAAGACAAGAATCTCACAGACTTTACTAGCTTTGAACCACAGTCCTCAGATCTCATCATCCTGATGAGCTGGGATTACAGGCGCGAACCACCAGCAAGATGTATATTAGTGGTCAGACTCTAGTGGTCTATAGGCCAGAGAAATTCATGCGTTTTTACCATTTCCTTTTCTGTGTAGTAACTTCCATGGTTTCTTAGGTGACAGCCCTAAAGAGTCCACAGTGATTTAGTGCTAACATTTCTGAGGGTATTTTACATTAGGTCAACATTAACAATTGTATTTTGGGAAATTCAGCAAATGAGTTAGCACTAAAAACACATAATTGTTCATTCTAAGCATTAAGAAGGTAACACAGCCTACACAGTTGAAAATGGTGTGAGGAATTCTGTGTATCTGGACAGCTATGCATGTGGTCTGAGAAACAGCCTGAAATAGTTAAAATAAAGGTCATCCTGCTGTGCGAGACTAGCTAAGAAAAACGCCATCCAAGGCCCGTGGTTGGGGGTTTCTCTACCATTCACGGCTGGATTAACCCCTATTATGTAGGCCTTGTATGTGCCAGAGTAAAGTATTGGGGAATCAACAAAGAAAAAGACATGCCCAACACACAACTTTGTACCAGAAGTTTTCTGTTCAGTCCTTGATCACTCCTTCTTCTTATTACCCTAGATGACACAGAAAATTAAGGGGCAAATTCTCAGCCTTTCCTTTTGAGTCTATTCATAATCCTTAGTTGGGAAGAAAGAAAAATGGCATTTGAAAAAAAAGGGCATTAAAATATAAAATGAAAATTTCTATACATAGTAAATTCCCATTCATCACAAACATATTTGTGTACCAAATGTGGCTTTTTTTTTTCATGAGCCAGCTTCTCAATCTGTTCTTGAAAACGGAGCTAAATACAACAGACAAATGCTACACTATATTGTATGATAATATGTATTTAAGAATCCTTGGCTAGATTCTGGCCAAGGCACTGAATAAACCACTCCTTTGAATAGTTGTAACAAGAAAAGCCCTGTGCTTGGGCCTGCTCAAACCTTTGATTTACAGCAATCTTCAGTGGTTGTGATTTTAACAGGATTGTTGTGTCAAAAGATGAGGGGGAAGAGTATCTTGCCAAAATTTCCACTGGGTATAAATTTTGTTCATGCTTCTCAGTTACCACTTATAAAGTTAAAGATGAATCAAACATATCTTATTTCTTGTACTGACTGAGTAGAGCTGGGAAATGACACACACACACACAGAGGATTGTTCAATGTCGACTGTACAGTTAGGACTGGTTCTCACTTGTTACTTATTCCTTTGGTCTCACCTCAAGAGAAAGCACCTCAGGCAGAGGATGTTGGTGAATCCTGGTCTGCAGAGACTTCTCTGCTGCTTCTATATCCTGTAACAGATATCAGCATTTAAAAACTACAGCATTTCTATATACCACCAATGACACCTTTGCTGCCAAGGTCTGCATTCTACATCTCTGCTCTTGATACAGTTTGAGCTGATGGAGGCATACTGAGTTAGAACTGATTATAGCTCAATTAACCCACTTCTAGTAAAGAGTACTGTTTGCTTGTTTTAAAAATAGAAAGGGGTGGTACTTCAGTGTTCTGCCTTTTCACTTTGAACAGCTGGTAAATGCTAGTAATTTGTCAAAAGCAGCTTTCTTTAAAATTGTTTTGAGCAGCTGGGTGTGGTGGTGCACACTTGCAATCCCCACAGTGGGAGGCTGAGGCAGGAGGAGAGCGAGTCTGAGGCCAGTCTGAGCGACACAGTAAAGACTGACTCAAAAACCTAAAGATGCAAAAATTGTCAGAGCATTAACTTAGTTTTCAAACCATCTAAAAGCATCCTGACAGATAAAAGAATCAAGATAGACCTGCAGTGTTCACCCTAAAAGCAGAGTCCTAATCTCTGCAGATGACCTGAGTGGTATATGAGTGGCATCCAGCTCATTTATTCAACACTCCATCTGTACATTTTATACAAATATTCCACATATTTAAAAGAAGTTCAATGAATTACCCCAGTTGTTTTTGACAAGGGCTTCCCCCCCATATTACCTAGATGTCTGGGACTAACCTTCCATGTTAATTTTAATGGTATGTTTTATTGCTCGGCGGTATATCATTCAAGCCGATAGCATTCAAGTACTAGGCTTTAGTTTGTAGTTTAACTTGATAATGTGCATATTTCTTTTATCACTGCAGAAACACCACAGTAACTTAGCTCATAACTCGGTATAAATGTTACCTTGATAGATGCATCAAACATATGTCCAGAAACATAGGATTCTGTGTGCAATTATGAAAATATTTAAGGCTGTGTAAGAAATGGCTCCTCCATGTCAGCACCTATGTTGTCTGGTGCCACTTAACTATGTTTATCAAGTTCAGAGGCCTTGGTACAAAACCGGGGAAATTTTGTTTCTCCTTTGAGCTTAGTGAACTGATAGGAAAGAGAAAGTTCTCTCGATCCACGTACAACATTGGAGCAATCTAAGTCGAGGGCTGTTGGACAGACGGAGGGAGATGGAAAAGGGCGTGGGAGTAGGGTGTGAAGAAGCCAATGCTGAACAGGAGAAAAAAGACAGCAGATGGTAGCGACAGAGCAAGGAATGGGTGTGAAATGTAAAAGGGAAAAACAGGAAATTCCCTAAAGGGACTCCCCAAAGTTGCACAACCATTAATGCACCTGCTGTCTAGAGGAAGGTGATTTGAAAAGAAAAAAAAAAAAACATGACATTGATTTGGGGCTTAAAAACCTAATGTTAGCGTGTTTACTCATAGCAGTTCACAGTGAAGTTTCCAATGAAAAAGCATTTCATGTCTATGCCCATAGATACAGAGAGCAACTAACTCGTCTGTAATCTGAATAGACTGTACCACATTCGGAAAATTATTATTTTTAACTTTTGTAATCCAGTAGCCAAAACACAGAACAGTTATGCCTTCAGCTATGTTGGTATTCTAAGAACAGTCCCAAAGTTATTGTTGGTGGCAGAGCTAGGTAGAGAGAATGTAGATGTTTTCTCTTGAAGATGAGAAAATGAAGATGCTGAGAATCACTTCTGAAGAGCAGATATGTAATCGAAGTGCAGGTATGGGCAGGGCACATGATTTGGTAAAGCAGGAGGTCTGTGGTAAGACAAAGACTGTCATCTCCAGCATTTTGTCTAAGATGACCACTTCTCTGGAAGTTTTTCCTCGTGTGATCTTTGACTTTCTTAGATGCTTTTGCTTATCTCTTATTCTTCCTAGTTCCCTCCCTCCAATCTATCCCTCCCTCTCTTTCTCTTTTTGGTACCAGTCCCGGGGCTTAAAATCAGGGCCTGGTCGCTGTCCCTGAGCTGAGCCACTGCTCCATTTCCAGCTTTTTTGGTGCTTAATTGAAGATGAGTCTCATGGACTTTCCCGCTTGGTCTGGCTTTGAACTGTGATTCTCAGATCTCAGCCTCTTTAGAAGCTAGGATTATAGGTGTGAGCCACTGGACTGTTACTTTTCGTCAGTGTGGGTTTCGTAAGATTTGTGACATCTGTCTTCCTATTTTTACTTTATCTCCTTTCATGACTGTCTCTTAATATAGTCTCATCTAACCATTACTGTAGAAGATGACAACCTTCCTACCTTACCCCTCATTACTAAATACACCAAAGCCCATTTTCTTCCCACTGAATGGGCCCAATCAATGAATGGTGTTGGGAATTCTATTCTCCTAGATACCTCTTAGGTTAGTGACAGTTTCCTTCATCTTCAAATCTTCTTATTCTCCGCCAGTTAAAAATTTCAAAGCTCTCCAGATTGTTCTTGAGAATGCCTCTTCTAGCCTTTCCATCTCATTCCCACAGCTATTGTCTTATTACTGTACTTACTCAAATCAATGAGTACTTACACTGCTTATTCTGACTCATGCCAAGAGCGTTTCTCTCTCTCTTTAGTTCAATCCATACCTGTCGAGGGATTAATTCATTGATAGAAAGAAGAACTTGAATTATATTCTTCCCTATGCTAAAAAATTGATTTAAATTTTTAAAAATAATTTCAGTAGTTGTACAGAGGAGTTTCAATTCAATGTATCAACTTATGAATACAGTGCAAAGAGTGAAGAACAATGCAAAGACCTTCTTCTCTCCCCCACCCAAAACCCCAAACCCACCCCCCGCAAAACAAAAATGCTCTGCAATTTGACTCCAGGATTCTGTAACAAGTTATATTCTCATACTTCTATAAAAGAACTTTTCCATTGACTATTATACATACTACTAGAAGATATGTACTATGTCCCACATGATCCTTATACAAGTGTAGGGCATGTGTTTGTAAATTCATTAGAAGAATAAATAAGATGTTAAAAGTTTCTTAAGTATAATCCGAAAGTTAAACTTAATAAAAAGGAGCCAAGATGAGGGGAGGGAAAAGGAAAAAGAAGAATGGAAAAAAGGCTACTTTTCTGACTATACTTTATTACTGTTTTATAGATCTGTCACGCCACCATTTAATATTTGATGAAGTTATAGAATGAATAAAGAATAACACTAAAACTTCAAAAACAAATAAAGCAAATTAGTTAGTGGCATAACTGTGGTCTTAAAAGCACAGTATTAACCAAATACTCTTAGCAAGATATCCTCTCTAGTAATAACAGAGTTATTACTAGGTATCTTAGTAAAAACCATTCTGGTTAGTATCATAGGACAAAGTATAAACGAGAGTCCCTCCTGATCCATGGTTTCCAACATTTTCCCTTCACACTATTAATGATGGCCTGAATGTATTCAATAGAAAATTCTAGAGGCTGAGAGTATCTCTCAGTGGTAGAGATTACACCCTCAGCATGTACAAGATCTGGGTTCAGTTTTTAGCATATTTCATCCATACTAAATAATCAACTCCAAGGAAATCTTTTGACATCCCTCTCACCCTTGGGGTTTTGCAGAAGATGTCCTGCAGATAAAGGGGGAGCTATTATACATAGTTATGTTGGTGTTGAAAAATTCTTTGGGAATTGAGATTTTTGGTGTGCGAAAAAGAGGCACAAAAATCAATGGTTTTAATATTCTTGTAATCTTGTAACTGAATTGGAAGTACTGTTAGAAGTTCTTATATTTTATCTTAAAATCTGAGGAAGTTGCAATAAATAGTCCTAGTGCCCAGATTGAGGGCTCTAAATATATTTCCTGCCAAAAGAAGACAGGGCTCCTTGAAGCAAAGACCAATTCCAAGTCTGGGCAGCAAGTCACCACAATAAGCCTGGAAGAACTCATCAGATTAGAAAGAAAAGAAACTCCCAAAGCCTATTACTGTCATGATGCTTCCAACTGCTGAGAGCAACTGAAATCTAAATGGGAATTGCAGGGCAGGTGGCTTCAATCAGTCAGTGCCATCGGAGTCAGCAATCAGGAGGATCATGGTTCAAGGCTAGTCCAGGCAAAAAAGTTAACGTGACCCCAATTTAACAAATAAACTGGGCGTAGTGATTAAAGTGTACTCCCAGCTAAAATGGAGGCCACGAAGTAGGAGAATAATGGTCTAATGCTGGCTCCTGGCAAACAATGTTAAGACTATATTTAAAAAATTAGTCAAAACAGCAAAAAAAAAAAAAAGGCCGAGGACATGGCTCAACACCAGTACAGTCATAAAAATCAGTAAGAATAAAAGTTTTAGCACCAGAGGAAAAAGGATCTCAAGTTCTAGACCAACCAGGGTTATAGTGGGAGACTTTAAAGCACATACAAGGCTTTGGATTTCTCCCAACACCACAAAACAAACAGAAACAAAAGATGGAAAAGGAATCAAGTAGTCAGTCAAATTTTCCTTACTTGAACTACATTCTAGTGTAACCCAGTTATTAATGAGAAGGGATATTTTCTTTATACAAATAATCAGGATCAAAGAGGAATTAAAAAATTGGATACCACCCTTTGTGACCTCTAGGCAATGAACTATAACGAGTGCCAACATTTAAAAAAAAGAAAAGGAAAAAAGCTGTCTGTCCATCCATTCTGGAAGTGGTCTTCATCAAAACATCAGCCCTGAATCTGATGAGGCCTGTAGATGTGCACTGTTAATACACTAGCCATTGGTTGCATGTGGATACTGAATGCCTGAAATATGCTTGTTGAAGATGTGCTTAACTGTAAAACACACATGGAATTTTAAAGGTTCAGTGAAGAACAATTCTTTTATAGCAAACACTTGCAGTATATTGTATATGCTTCATAGGACAAATTAATTTCACCTGTTTTTTTTTTTGGGGGGGGAGTAAGGGATCAAACCCAGAGCTTTAGGTATGTTAGGCTCATGTTTAATTTGACTCTATTGAAAGTGGATACCTGGTTATATAATCTTACCTACCCAGTAGGTAGAGGTTAGGAGGAGGGTTTGGAAGTCAGT